TCCCAACAAGAAAATTTATATATATATATATATATATTGTCTGAAATAATAATTAAACTTCATACAAAAAATATTTATTTTAGCAAAATTTTGTCTTTTTATTTTTTTCCTACTTTTATGAAGAGAGAAAAAGTCAGTATGAGCACCCATATCCAGGATTAGAATTTCACCATCTCCAACTCCACGTGTTCCCCTGCATGTCTCCACACCCTAACCCTCCTCCCTTCTCACACCTGTCCTTCCCCAACCCCTCCAACTTCTTAAGACACCATTCTCTTCTCCCATCTCACTTTCTTCCCTCAAGCTCTCAACAATGTCCGACCGAGGCACTCCTCCTCCTCCGCCGCAGCCCAGAACCGCACGAACACCACATTCCTCCACACAAACTACCACTGTCTTTCTCCACAGACTCCAATCTCACGCACCCACCTCGTCCCAGCTCCTCGGATTCCTCACCCTCGTCATCTCCGGCTCCATTCTTCTCTTCCTCGTCGGCCTCACCGTGACCGCCACCGTCCTCGGCCTCATCTTCTTCACGCCTCTTATTATTATCTCCAGCCCCATTTGGGTCCCCGTCGCCATTGTTATATTTCTTGTCAGTGTCGGATTCTTGTTCGTTTGCGGATTCGGCGTCGTTTCAGTCGCCGCTTTGTCGTGGATGTACCGGTACTTCCGGGGAATGAACCCGCCCGGATCGGACCAGGTTGATTATGCGAGGACTCGGATCTACGACACGGCTAGTCATGTGAAGGATTATGCAAGAGGGTATGGCGGGTACTTGCAGAGCAAGGTGAAGGATGCGGCTCCAGGTGCGTAAGGAGGTAATAGTGGTCGATCCGGTCCGGTTCGAGTAGTGAACCGGTGGAAAATGAGAACCGGGTTAATATTTTTTTTACTTGTTTGCTCTAGATAGTTTCTTTATAATCTTTTCTTGGGAAACCTTTTTTTCATGTCCTTCATGTTAGTTGAGTTGTTTGGAATTTTGTTGTTCCTTTTTTTTTTTTTTTAATTCGGTTGAATTTTTACTGTTTTTATGACATAATTAAGGGTTTCTTGAGTATAATTAATTAGATTTGCAGTTGATTAGATTTTTTATTAGTGTATTGTTAATTCACTTTAAACAATTAGGGTATGGAGAATTTATGTAGAAATTAAATTATTTATTTATACCCAAATTGAAATTTTTAAATTTTAGGGGTAAGATCATAAAGCTTCACAATTTTTTTATTTGAGAAAATTTATAATTGCATTTGGTTCAAACATTTTGACACGACAATAAAATAAAATAATTCAATGAAAATAGAAAGGCCCATAGTAATATAATGGGGCTCCAATCATGTTCTAAAAAGTATCAAGTCCATTTTGCTTCCCCAAAAAAATTAGTAGACTTGTATAGATTAGGTGGGTCGGTCCAAATGTCTTGTTATTTTTGAAAAATTATCAAAATATAATTTTTTTTCTTTCAATTTAATATAGTAAAAAACCATTTTCGAAGCTTACCAAAAATTTTAACGATTTAAATTAATTTATCCAATGAAAAGAAGGATAACCCATGAATGAAATGGGTTTGAATTAATTGGACCATAGTTGTTTTTGAACAATTATCATAGTAGTAATTAATAGACCCTCCACTTTATGGATTGGTGAAAAAAGGATGGTAAATTGTTTTATAGTTTTACCATTTTAGTTCTTGTTGTAATTTAATTTATGTTTTTGTAAAATTTGGGTATATGTCATATATATTTTGTCTTTTATATAAAATTATTACTTTTTAGGTTATAATTTCCCAAAATAAATGCATGATTTTGAACCAATTTAGGAAAATACATGAATATAAGTACATGATAATCAAAAGTCAAAACTCAAAAGGGCGAAAGACGACTCAAAGCAGTTAGCTCTTAGTTGATTAGACGGGCATTCATTGCTTGCTGGTCAACTCACAGGAAAGGAAACATAAAATTGGCCGTTTAGAAGTATTGACAAGGCCATTTTGACCTCACGTATTCTCTATTTTCCCAAAATCGCAAACCTAAAAATTAAGAAATTAAATTTGATTAATCTGATATTATTAGTATAATTAATTTGATGTTCCGCTGGCATGAATCTATCCCTCCTGAAACTAACATTTATTATCCTTATTTAAATGTGTTTAAATAAATTTCGTACTAAATTATTAGTGCTTCTTTTGTTATATAATAAATTAAAAATTATGAAATGATTAATACGTACATCGCAAATAATTAATAAAAAGATATGTATTTTATAAATATTTATTTTATAATTATATGCATAAGTGGTTTTTAAGATAATTGAAAAAAATAAATAAGATATGATTAGTTATAAACCGATCACACAAATATATGGAGGAATTTTTTAGTTAATTAAAAAAATTATTAATAAAAAACATTATGTTATACTTTGAAATTCCTCGTCCAAGACCATTTCCAATGGAATGTTCTCTTTCTTCATTATATATTATCATCTACAGCGCTTATTGCGGATATGTAACTAATTTTATTTTCTTATGGTCTGTTTGGATCAAGAGAAAATTAAATGAAAATCATAATTTTGTTATACACTGGGTGCTAACATATGCATTAAAAAAAATTATATTATATGTATCCAAGTATATCCCACTTTGAAAATACAAACATCTACAAGATTAAAAGTAAAAAATTCAAAATAAAGAGATTATTATAAACTAATAAAAATTAATCATATTCTAATTTGATAAATTGAAAGAAAATCCTGATTTACTTAGCCTGCACTTCTCATTAGAAAATTTGTATATATACAATAATTTTTGTTTTCCCAAGGAGAGTACCATATCCCATATTCTATATTCTATATTCTATATTCTATATTCAAAACAAGAAACTGACCAATACTTTTTAAACCCAGTTTTCCTATTCCATCACCCAAAAAAAAAAAAAAAAAAAAAAAAAAAAAACACTTTTTCCTAACTTTGTTCTGGGTTTTCCCGTTGACCCAGCTACCCGAAACTCACCTACTGTGACAGACCAATCATATCACAACACGTCATACAAAAACCCCACATCATAAACGAAAGCAAAATCACATACGTCGGTGACACAACCAACGGTCACCGTCAGGGTAGGCGACAATCCGCCATCAGCCCATTACTAGTTGGCACGTGCGACATACCCACGCATGGGACTGGCACGTGGAGACCGGAAAGGAAGCTCTTCAAGCTGCTTCCCGCGACTATCATAATAAATCACGCCGGAGAAATCCAGCGGCTGACATTTATCCCCCATCAAGATTGCCTTCTGCCATACTCCGCCATCACCGAATTCCTCGGACGCGGAATCGCTATCTGCGCCCGATTTTTTATTCCTACTCACCAAACTCATCGCCTTGTTGCTGATGTTCGTGAACAGCTGCTTCGGCCGCGCCCTCAGCGGCGACTTCGCCGTCCACGGTGACCTCGACGCGAACGCAGGACTTCTGCAAGGACTAAATCCTTCGTTCCAAGTACTTTCATCGCCGGAGTTTTTACTCGGCTCCAGCGCCTTGGCTCTGAGCTTTCTCGAAACTCGGCTGGCGTGTTTGGCACATATAGCCATGAGGGACGAAATAGACAAGAGAAAGCCGGTCCTGAGCCGGCTTGATGAGCTCAAGCTACGGTCCGGTGTTTTAACGTCCATGGCTCTGTTCCCCCTCTGTTGTTCTTCTTCTCCGAATCCAGAAATCGGCGGGGAGATTTTGTGCAAATAGGCTTCATTCAGTTGGGTGGGATTCTAAGGTGCATGCATTTATAGGTGAGGTTGGAGGATTTGGGTAACCGGCGATAGCCGGTGACTCTTTTTTCTTAATGCAGATGCGTTTTCCTCTTTTGGAAATATAAAAATATATGGAAAGAAATTAGTACCTTATCATAATAGGTTTTGAAAGTCATTATTTTGGTAATAAGTTATTGAATCCAATATTATTTTGGAAATTATTATCATATGATATGAAATTTATGTGCAAAATAATCTAAACTGATATGCAACTTCAATGTATTTTCACTTTGAATGAGATTATAATTAAATTTAATAAAAAAAAATTAGATTTTGACTTTGACTGTTTGAAAATTTAAGAAGATGAGTTATGTAGATTTGATTTCATATTTATTAGACTACTACTTTAAATTAAAATAAATTTTTTAAAAAATCTCAATATAACTCGATAACGAATCAAATTTGCAAAATTAAATCTCTGATTCTTGATATTTTTATTTATTAAAAAAAAATCAAGTTTATTTGGTGATAATATGAAACCGGATTCTTTTAAAATTATATTTTATTTTTATTAACAAATTTGCTAAATTCATGACCAACGAAGTAATTTTTTATAATTAAATTAAGTAATATAATTTATATTTTCAATCTAAATTCTTAAAATTATTTCATTTCTTCTAATTATATACTCAAACTAATCAGACATAAATACTTTGAAAGTTTTAAGTATTAAATAATTAAAAATTAAACCAATTTTTATACTTTAATTAAAAATAACCAACTACCAAAAAAAATTACAGCCTTAGTGTAAAAATATTAAATTATAAATTTAATTAAATCAGGTTGAATGATTATATTAATTTATTAAGAAATAAATTGGACGATTCATAAAATTATTAATCACTACCGAAACGCATAATTGTATTGTGAATGACAATCGTACACGTGTGAGGATTTTATTGGTGGGAAACAATTTGAGGAATCTACGTTGGCGCAGCAGGAGATCATGATTTACACGTGTCACGCAAAGGGATGAGGTATGCGTGCACGCTGGTTTGGAACTAGAATAATAACAAGCAAGGAAGGTTGGTGTTGAGTCAACGCAGGTAACCGACGAGAAACATGACAAGTCCAACTTCCAGATTGGAGAAATAAATAAATAAACAAGTGGGATAATTGTGGGTGTGTGGGTCCCACATGTAAGAATCAGACCTAAGAACTCACGACTGCTGGGATTTGTATATTTATGCGGCGCTCACTTCCCCCGGGCCCACCAACCTGTGTGGTAATGCCGACTCGGTCTCACCATTTATTTATTTATTTTAATTGCATAATAATAATATACTTTTGAATAAATGCGTATAAAATTATTATGTCTAAGTTTATTATTATTATTTTTTTCTAATAAAATTATACACCATGCAATAATTGAAATTTCTTTTAAAATCAATGCACTATTTTTATAAAATTCAATTGGAGATTCAACTTATTTTGACGTCATATAAAATAAATATAATTTTCCTAAAGAAAATTTTGAATAAGCATGCTTGATTGATATTGTACAATTAATTAATGTGATCTATAATATATATATATATATATATGTTATTGGGTTGGGCAATTATTAGTTAAATTTTCACTTGACATGCACGCATTGTGATATGGGTTATGACTTAAATCATGTCCATGGAATTAATTGATATTCATAGAATAATATTATACCTATCTATTACCAGTAGCACTTTTATTTCTTAACATATATATATATATATGTATATTAAAAAAAACATCCGGGCCTAGTCTTCTGATATTCCCCCATATATGTGTGTGTGTATATATATATATATATATATAGTGCATACACTATATCTATGCACACGGCACATAGGGTGATTTATGCCTTCTTCAAAGTTTTTAAAATGATTAAAAAAATTAAGCTAATTAGTACATGCAACTGACTTATTAACATGATAATTAAAATATTATTAGACAATTAATTAATTAATTAATTTGATTATAATTATTAATCTACCTCAAATGAATAAGAAGACACCCAGCAACTTTTACCGTCAAATCTGGCTTTATATTATTATTATTTAATATCATTATTAGTTTATGATTAACTTTCATTATATATACATTCTAATATAATTTTTTTTATTAATTACCTTTCGCCACATATATATGATTTTAAAACATAACCAGTAAGATAAAAAAATAGATAATAATTAACCATTTTTATATGTATATTTTTATTAGCATAAATTATCCGTATTTAAAAGATAACTATTGTTGCAGTTTATTAGAAAATATATTTTTTAATACAATATAATATATGTATATGTAACGGTTTCAGAAATTTAAAAAAAATGTATATATTAAAAATTGTAAGTGCGGAAGCGAAATAATTTTTTTTATTAATATCCCTTACACAATAACCAAAATATATTAAACATATGAAAGAATAAACTAATTGAAGTAAATACTAGTAATGAATGCTATAAATAAATCTATCAAATCTTTAGTCATATACTCGCCGTCTTCCTACGGGACGGTCTCGGGAATCAAGTCCTCCTGATCTGAAATGGTTAAGTAAGGAATGAGCTACACTACCCCAATAAAAACATCACATTATCTCACTGCCACTGGAGTAAAGGTTGATAGAAAACAAAAACGACCAATTGAGCATAATTTATAGCAAACTCATTTATCAATAATAAAAACCTTTATTGTCTACTTACCTTGGTGAAATTTATGAAAGACAACTTGTGAAACACAATAACATCATAAACATCATAAAATCATACACACTTTGTAACATAACACATATCAAACTCTCGTTTTTCAATCATCAGACAAAAATTTTCCTCTTTTATCAGCCTACTAGTATCCATAGAGATCCATAAGGGTCCCCGCTACACGTGAACCATTCACATTAATAACTTGATTCTAGGGCCGTTCCCATACCCTGTCTGGTATGGACGTCAAAACCATAAAGCTCAATACCCCGTCCGGTATGAAGATAAAACGGGCCGTTCCCATACCTCGTTCGGTATGGGCGCCAAAACACATAAGGTCTCTATACCCTGTCTGTTATGAGAGACCACGTTTCCGGTAGGATTTCCTATGGACCCGGTCCGTCTACCATATCCCAGGATATCTAGTGAGGCTGTAAACATTATCCATTATCAATTATCAATTCACATACCTTTTTATCATTTTTCTTAATCTCAATTATCCAATCAAATACAAACACCTAAACCAGTAATAGACACCAAATAAGATAACACAACATCGGGTTCACAATAATTCAAAGTATAATAAATAAAACCGTGATTCATGCATACGAAACCATAGAATAAACACATCAGGCATCATACTGCATTCAAAACTGCAAAATAAATCAAACAACACATGACCAAAAATATATCAGATTCGGCTGCATTGACAATCAATTATACATATTTATTAAGTCATAAAATACTGTTTTATCATTTATTAGGCTTTAATGTCATGATAGGAAATAGGATGAGAGATCATTACTTGTTTCGGGGTCTGAAATCGTGTTCTCACTGCGCCTATGGGCTGTCTCTAAATTTCCTAAATTTTTTTATGGGAAACTGAAACACACTTCCGGTACCTGCACGTGTCCCCAAAAAACCCCAAATCAGACTCAGGGCTCTTTCGACCAATATCAGAATTCCAGCACGGCGGCTCCGCCGCCCACAGCGGCGATCCGCCTCGGGTTGACCGTTTTCGGCCAGTTTCGACTGAATTCGGCCAAACTCGCATCGATTCCTACGATAAAACACCCCTAAGACCTTCGGTGGGCCAAAAAATCAAGAAAAATTAAGACATACTGGCGGCGGAGCTCTCGGGTACGGCGGCTTCTTTGGCACGAGTCGCAATTTGATGTTTTGCTCTAGTCAACCTGTAGAGAAAGGGACGATGATCACAGTGGTGTAAAAATTACATCAAATGGGAATCAGGAAGGGCCTAATCGGAGGAAAAAATCGAGGGAAGCCGCCGCGGCACCGCTGGAGTTCGGCTGTATTTTTCGGCCGATTGGCCGGTTGTTTGGCTCTGATTTAGCCACAGGTGGATTCAGCATCGAAAAACAAGCCCATAGGAGAAATTTTACCTCGTTTGGCGGTAGAAAAATCCTCCGGTGCGGCGACGGGTGGCGGTGATCGGCTCCTCCGGTGACTGGGTCGTCTTCTCCGGCGAGGGTACTGGCGGCTAGGGTTTGGGGTTGGGTGTGGGTGAGATTATTTATAACCTTCTCCTTTTAATTTCAGCCGTCCATCACGATTTAATCTGAACCGTCTGATCGCGATTAAAATGAGAATAAATCTGGGTCGTCCATCACGATGCGATCTGGGCTGTCCGTGCGTGATTCAATCTGGATCATCCGCACGCGTGAGATTTGGGCCGTCCGTGTGCGCGGGAACGGATCTGGGTCGTTCGATTGCGCGCACGCGGATTGCTCACGTGGCCCCATCCCGCGTGGCTTCCCGCATTAGCGTTCCTGCCACGCGGCGTGTCTTAGTTGGCTGGGGCTGCTGACGTGGCGGATCTTTTTTAAATTGCGTTTTGACCCTCCAGTTTTCGATTTTCTTTTCAAAAATACCTACATAATCTAAATTTTCACCCATTTTTTTCAAAATCGTTTTCAATTAATTCACAAAAATAATTTTACTCATTTTTATCTCCATAAAATAAAATAAAATTAAATTACAACCTTATAAATTAATTAATTAATAAAATAAAAATAAAATAAAAGTTTTTGGGTTGTTACAGTATATATATATATATATATATATATATATATATATTATTACGTTAAGTAAGACAAAATTAAAATGTTAAATTTGAACGGAAGTGAGCCAATATTTTTTTTTTCTTGTTTATTCTGCTAAAAATTC